GCCCCTCAACTTTAGTGTCACAGAAACCATACTCCCTCCACTGCCACATAGACGCCAGATCATATTTTACCACAAAATATGACTCATTGCCACACCCAATAAATGGTGCCACATATTTTTTAACAATTTAATTTAAATAAAAACTTTAATTTTAACAAAAACATCACATATCATTACTTCAAAAAAAAAATTACTCATATTAACATAAAACCATACTTTATAGTTTATATAATAAAAAATATTCATTATTATTAACAAACATTATTATCTAGATATCTATATATTAAATGAAAAGAAAAAGAAGGAAAAAAAATAGAAAATGAGATGGGAGAGAAAAGTGTTAAATTGAGAAAAAGAAAATTAAATACTTATATTTATTGGAAATAGACGTTAAAGGGTTTTGCTTTAATATAAAAAAAATGAATTTTTAAGAAAAAAAACGAGAGAGAGATGCGGCCAAATTTTGCCACACTATGACTAGACCACACCTCAGATCGCACACAGGGGACGGTGTTTCCTGCCACGATGGCGATACCACACCCGGATACCGCACCACTCCCCAAGCCTAATAACCTAAGAAGTGGATAGGGCTTCATATCGACATTCATTGAGCACTTTAACTTTCCAGCAAATTTTTCTTTTATTTTTTTTTCTTTTTAATTCATAGTTCTTTAGCTTTCTTAATAAGGGAGGTGGGTATCATGAGTTTTAGGGGGAGGTACCAGCGGTACCTCCAAGATAGGGCCCCTTCAAGCTTTGGGTTGTAGTGGTTTGAAAAATTAACACTCTTAACGGTTTGAGGAAGTTGTTTTCTCTTTTCTTTTTCTATTTTTTTTCTTGTACTATGTGTTTTAAAACTTATATCTTAATTGTTTTGTATGTTTTTAATTGAATGAGTTGAGTGGGTTAGGAAATATATGGTTTCCATGTGTTGTAGGTTGGAAAAGATGGAAGAGAGAGGAGAAAGAAAAGTTGATGTGTGGGAGGGAAGGTCTCCCTCCTCCCTAAGAAAAAAATCTCAAAGTTACAAACATACAATGTTATTAAAGTGAAATGTTTTGACACATCAAACAAACATCTTATATCACAAAATTAAATGCTAAACTCCCGCCGTAACACGCGATTTAGAAAACATCGTTATTATTTATTAACCAGTGTTCTAAAAGGCGCGTTATGGCGCGCGTCAAAGCGTGCCACGGCGTGAGGCGTGATTTTGCCGTTACGAAAAGCATCATAACGTTGTTGTTAGGCGTGTAACGTGGCAATGCGTGATATGATGCGTTATAGCGTGTTATGGCGCGTGTTTTTTCGTTTGAGACACGTTTTTTTTTCTCTTTGTTATGTATTTTCTAATCGAGTATATAACTATTGTGTTTTTTATTAATTTTTTGTTATTAGTTATTGATAAAACACTTTTAAAAATTTAGTTATATTTGATATAAATTTTTATTTATATGGTAATATAATTATAAATTAATATAAAATCACCGTCCTACGTCACGCTTTGAAAAACGTCATTGCTCGCTATGACTCGTAAAACTTGAGGTTTGGCATTGACCTCACACCACACCTGATGCCATTTAGAACCTTGTTATTAATACAATAAAACTTGAGTTTCAAAAAAATTTGAGCCTCAAAATATTTAATCATTTGCAGCCTTAAATTAGTTTCTGCAAAAAATAAAAAATAAATAAATAAAAATAAAAAAATGGCATGTATCTGACAGAGAAGATACATGCTTTCTCCCTTTTGTTGATTACTTGCTGCCACTGCCTGCCAACACCGAGAGGTATTGCAGCCCATAAATTTTTGTTTGTTTTCTCACTTCATGGTTCGTGTCACCGAGAAGATACAGACCCTCCCAAAAAAACTTGACACTAATTTTATTTTTATTTTATTATATAGATATATATATATATATATATATATATATTATATATATATATATATAAAATATTCGACATTTCTTCAAAGTTAAGAGTACAACAAGTATTACATTATCTACAACCATGTTATCCTTGTCGTCTAATAGACATAAAACGTATCCGTTTCAACCTTTTCGGAATTAAATCAGAATTCACACTAATTTTGTTTCTCCTTTTGTTGCCTAAATTCACCTTTTCTCCCAATCAAATACATAAAAACCCTAATCGGACTGCCTTCATCTGCCTAAGTAATCGTTATGCTTCTATTGTCCTCATTCCTCTTTTATAACACGCCAACACCATCCTGTATCCAACCTTGCACCATCCACCGTATCTGAGCGCTGTGATTTTCTTGCAACGAACCCCCACCACGATCCTTATCCGCGTCTCTCTCTCTCTGTCCTGACTCACTCTCTAATCCTGCCACTACTCATCGTCATCGACACCGCCATCATTGCTGCTCCCATCTCCGCCAGCAAACCGGTGGCTCAACATTATGCCCTATGCTATGCTCTTCACTAAAAAAAGGTAATACATTTCTTAAACTGATTTTTTCCCTAAAAGTTAATGATGAGTGTAAATCAAGATGATTGTTTCTTTGAAACTGATTTTCAGTTAGATATGCACTATGGTTTTTCTAATTTTTTTTATTTGAAATAGATATCCAAGACAACGCCTTAACCATTAGGTTTTAATATTTTTGGTGATTCCCTTTGTTTCATTCATTAGACTGTTTAAAACATGTGCAGCGGAAGAAAGCCCCTCATGTTTGATTAGATTTATTTTGTTGTGTTATTCTGAAGAAGGAATTCTACTTTTTATACATTTTGTTGTTCAATAGAACCATAACATGATTTCATTACTGAATTGAAGGTCCAGAAGCATGCTGAACAGTACGTCTCTCTGCATATTAAGTACTGGTGTGATTATTTTTGTCTCCATGCTTTTTGCTTTTTACCTTAGTAAAAAAATGAAACATTTTTCAATATTGATCCTTATTATATTTATTTTCGTCACTTGCACTTCCTGATTTTGGTCTTTATTTCAGGGGCTGTATAAATTTTTGTCCTAATTTCAAGATTCCAAGAACCAAAATCAATAAGAAACAATTAATTTCAGACAAGAACTGAAACTGGTTTCAATTTTGGACCAAACATGGTCCAAATCAGAAAGCACATGGACTATTTTTGTAATTTACTTTAAAGGTTGAGATATTGTGTTTCATTTGGGGTAATAACTCCATGTTATTAATATTCTGAATAGGTTGGCGCATGAGAAGTTTGTAATTTATGCCAAAAACATTTTAAAAGCAAACAACTAACACTCAATGGACATATAAATATACAATTCTATTTCTTGTATTTCATATTATAAAAGCAACATAACCAATAGCAAAATGATGCTACAATGTTTGTAAATGTAGGGATCAGACCCATATGTTGCAACAAAACTCTCATTTTCAATGTTTTTGTCATTGTTCAGGTAAGTTTTTACAGCATACCATTTTTTTTGCTTACAGAGTATTTATTTCTTTTAGTGCATAATAAATGTTTTCTTTTTAGATGTAGATGCTAGGATGCAGGACACATGGTCAAGAATGTTGGTTAAATTGTTATCTTTTCGTGATGGGAATAAGTGGTTGAAATATATTCCAATGACAAAAAGTACGTTACTATTCTTATAGTCTCATTTTGTCCAAAAAAATTAATTAGGATCGATAAACATGTGGTGTTGTGTTTTAACAGGTGGCATGAGTTTAAAAATCTTGAAATGATAATCTAAAACTAATCGTTCTACTTTTGTTTACCACTTGTAGAGAGCGAAATAGGCGGATTTTTAAGAATATTATTTAGGATCCAGTTTTTATTACAAAAGTAATTTTGGAAGATGTTCGAAGACCTTGGGTTTTGCAAGAGTGATGGTTACTTCTTTTTATTTATTGGATGAGTTTTTTTGTTTTTCATAAACATACAGTTTTTGATTTGGTCATTTTAAATTTCATTTGCAGAGATATTTATTTCTAGCTACAATTTGAATTTTTTACGATCAAGCATGTCGTCTTTAAACAAGTAAGTGCAACACTCATTTGAAACGATGATATTGAACAAAAAACAGCAAATATGTGACCAATGGAGGCTTATGTTGGAGAAGACTCGGATGTAGATTTCTAGATGAAAGAAATCTGTTGTTTGAGATAGGTTCATTTATAATCTCTATAGTATTTGAGTTGGCAAGGTAGTTTCCAAAAAACTCCTGTTTTTTGGATTGCAATGTATATGTTAAACTGTAATTTCTGTAAAAAAGCGATTGATTTGAGCATGTAGATAGAAATCTATGTTTTCTTGCAGGTCAAATCATAAACCAAAGAAAAATCTCTTAGTTTGGTCATCAATCCATGACGAAATTATAAGTGAAAATGAAATGGATAAAATACATTGGTGGTGCTGGTGCAAATTTTTAAAGAAATGTGATTTTGAAAATGGAGCTGAAGCAGAAAGATTAACACAAAAGTATATTACAGCAAGGTAAAAAGTAGGTTGAATCACATTTGAATATGTTGTTACTGCAAGCAATTTGTTGGTAATTCTTACATCATTTTCCAGGTTACATTTTAGTAGTGAAGTAAAGGGAAATTATCTTCATTTATCAATGATATTAGTGTAGGCTTCTTAGGTTGGTTTTGGTTCAAATTGTTGTTCAGAAAGTCTTTATCTTCTGTTTTTAAAAGACATCATGAAGGTTCAAGTTTGGTGTTGGTTTTTGGATCTTAGATTTTTGTGTTGTTGTTGTATGTTATGTTTTGTTTTACCCATTTTAAATCCAACTGCAACATGTCTGGTGAAATGTTGGTGTTCAGTCATTTCTTTATTTGTTGTAGTTTGAGTAGTTGTATGTTTGTAAAATTTCACCCTCTTTATATATAAGTTGTTGTTCAAAAAAACAATGGATGAAGGAGGTTGAATTATTCTTTTATTAAATTCTTTATTGTTAACCTCTATGCCAATCTGTTTACCATTTTTTTAAAAGATGCTACCTTGTTGGTAATAATATTTTGATATTTTTCTTTAAACATAGGAAAGCCACACAATAAACGCTTTTATTAGAATTATGTTAATATAAATCGGGTTAATGTCAATAATATAATGAGGGTTGATGTAAATTAAATGTTATGCTCATATTTTAATTATCTTAACCAAAACTGCCTCATTTTTAGTGCCCTTCTATTTTTTCTTTGTGGTAATTGAGTAATAAAATTGAGAAATAGAAATGGGCATAAAAAAGTAAATAAACAAAATGCATAATACTTTATTTTTATTTTTAACAAAAAGTAAAGTATATTTTATTTTCAAACTAAAACAATAAAAAATATTTATTTTTAATTGGAATATTTTAACTGAAAATAACAATATTATTTTATTTTTGACAAAAATTAGTTACATAAATTCATTTTAAACAAAAAATAAAATATTTTTGGTTTTAACACAAAAAAACTACGTACTTACATATGTTCATTTTAAACAAAAATAAAGTATTTTTGGTTTTAACAAAAAAACATTAATAAACTTTTTTATTTTATAAAAAACACCAATATAATTTTTTTTAACTCAAACTAGCTGCATACAATTATTTTTAACCCAAAAAAATATAGATTACATTTTAGATAGATTTTACCGATCAATAATATTTATTAACACATTATTATATATATATTAAAGTTGTGAAAAGTTTTAACAGTAAACATGAGACATTTTGCCCAATTTTGGTCCCTTAAATTACATTTCCGGTCCCTCTATTTTTGTTTGTGTGTCACTATATATATTAAAGAAGAGCACCAAATGCTATTCCTTCTTGGTTTATCTCTATCAATCTCCAGATCCTTCCATACATAAAATATCGCACCGCCTCTTTATCCTGTATCTTCCGCTGCATCCCCTATCTAGCCCGCTAAGACCATGTTGCCTCTTTCTTCACGGAGTCGCTTCCTTCGTTTTCCAATTAGATCGTCGCCCATCTTCAAAGGCCCTTCGTGTGGAGGTCTGGATTTCGGAGACGATAACCCATCAGGAGGTGTAGTATGTTCATGTTTTGTTAATAGCGTGTTGACCTAAGAATATACTTAGGGGTTTATATAAGCAAATGGAGACGAACGATTGATTCAGGTACGATCTACTTGGTGTTTTTTATTTTCAGGTGTTTTACTATGTTTTTTTTACTGCTTTTGTTATAAACACCTAATCCGTTTCAGATGAGTTTGTTTGTTCCTATTCTTATTCAATTTTTGTTTAGAATTTGTTTCATTGCATTTATTTTCAAGTTAGGTTTTACCGATTTTGTGTAGCTCACATCCATCTTCTTGCTGTTTCTTCTCCAACCAGGTGATAATGGTGCTTTAGCCCAATATTAGAGTGCCTCACGGATTCCTCAGATGGGATAAGTTATTTCGATTTACCGTAGTCCAACCCACCGTCGCTCTCCGCCACCGATTTTCCCTACAGAAGCTCACTCGCCACTATCGCTCTGCAACACCGATTGTCCATACAGGTCAGTTGACAGTGTAAGAAGCTCTATCCTGCACCACAACGTCTCCCTTCTTCTATTTTCTCCACCGGCTTCAGGCCGTTCGGAATATACTTCCGATGTTGCTTTCATTTGAATCAACCCGGCTCCACAATATATCGAATCTGTAAATTAACCCTAATCATTGCTCTTTCATCCAGACGTTCCAGGCAAAGGCCTTGAACTCTAATTTCGTTTATTTCTTTCAGACTTATAATCTTTGCTGAAGTGGGTAGTTTCCTCCTACTTATTCTTTATTCCAACATCCTGTTCAGGGGAAGAAAAAACGATCTTCTAGAAATGGGCAACAGGGAGAAGGTGGATACTGTATCCACTGTTCAGATCGACAAACTGATTTCGGCACAGAACGATCAATTCCTAAAACCACCAGATCTTCACATCAGAAGAAGCCAGGTTGGCTTCTGTATTTTTATTTTTTGATTTTTTGTTTTTTGATCATTTGGAATAAATGATTGCCGATTAACAGGGAGAACGATCAAAAGGAAAAACGGTCAAAGCATAGTGATTCGTTTTCAATCCGGTTTAGTTGTTACAATTACTTCAGCTGCACAAAGCAAATTTCAGGTGCTTGAACTTTTGAAGTATTTTTTTATGCAAAAGAATATTAGAATGTTAATATGTATGTGAAATATCACATTGCAACTGCTTTATTTTGAGCAAGATAATGGTGGAGGCTATAGTTTAGCATTACAGGTACATCATTTCCTATTATCTTCGATTGTTTCAGGTTTTTAAAATTAACATTTTGTGATAATTAACAATGAAAACATTGTAGTACAAAGTTCAAAAAATGTTATCATGTTTGAATCTACACTTAATTATGACATCTTTTTGATTGACTCAGCAACATTGTATCCCAATAATTACCCTATTAGTTGAGGTCATCAAGCATGGGCTTATTAGAGATGCTCCATTTTTTTGATGGCAAGAAAAGAACATGCAAGCTTTGATATCCAGGTAAATAGATTAATTTGTTAAAATCATAATATGTGAAACAAAAACTGGAATTTTTAAAAAGTATGATAAAAAGTTCAGATCTTAATGAATGTGATTTTGGTTTTTATGGATCCTCCTGACGCTTTTGAATATGCTATTGGGTTTTGATTCTTTTTTTTTATTATTATTAAATTCCAATTCTGTGGGGTCTTTTAAATCCATCTTTAAATGGATTTGAGCATTCAAAATGGAAGGTGGATGGAATTCAACTTCATTCTACCTTTTTTATTAAAAGACCAAAATACCCTTCATTATTTGGTTGGCAGGAATTGCAGTGGAATTGAATAATAAAATTGAATAGATTTTTAGATTTATTTATAATTATTATTTCCTTTTATTTTCAATATATTTTGTGTTGTTTACACCTCTGCAAAGTTAGTTACAACCTACTGAATTGAATCTTAAATTTTTTTATGTGGACTCATCTATGATGTTTTCGTTATATCAGTTTTTTTTACTTAATTTGAGTGTGATTGATTTATAGATGATATGATGCTGAAGACCATGGTTGGGAGTTGTTGGAGGTTAACCTGATACTTTAGGTACCGAGCCTTCATGATCATTTTACCAAATTTTGTTCTGTTTTCTAATTCTCTATTGAAAATCAAAAGACATAGGAATTTCAAGAAAAGAATGGTGTATCAGATCCTTTTTATGCTAACTTAACGTACATTTTTAATAAAATCTTGCTTATTCTCAACACTTCTCCAATGTGGAAAGCGTTTTTTCCACTCTTTCTAAAAGTTAAAGATCTTTTAATATTTTATTTAGTTAGCTGTTTATATGAGTATTTTTGTTTCTTTTTTGGCAGGTTAGTGGTAAAAAATAATAGATCATCTGTATTTTCCTGCATCAATATCACATCAGGTAGTATTCCTGATTTTCTTCTCTATAATTTTACTTTCTACATCTTATATTAATGTACACAATGCTTTGATAGCTCAATAGCTTATGGTACTTTGTGAATATGACAAGCAACACTTATGGTACTTTTTCTGTAATTATATGTTTCTGTAATTATATGTTTCTGTTTTTGAAAATTTGTTTGGTTGATTATCATTTAATTTGCAGGAAAATATTACAAAATAATGGAGAAGCCTGATTATCTCAAATTTGAAGTTGCCCAACTTGGTGACTCCAAAACATTTGATGAAGGATTCCATGGTGCATATTTGCAATTTTACCGGTCAGAATATATTTAGTTTTTTTTTCTCCAAATTCGGTTTGGGGAATCATTGTTTTGTATACTAATGATATGTTCTACTGTTATATCTACAAATTGGTTATCATGTACATTTGTAGATGAATGTTTTCAACATATCTAGCTATGTAAGATTATGTAATTTTGATTCTTTACATCTATATCGAACTGTTAAATCTTCAATTTCAATTAAACTTCTTTGGGATTCATTAAAATTCTTTGGGATATTTTCGACCCCGCAACGCGGGGTTACCCACCTAGTTCATATTTTTTTTCTTCCATATAACATGTTTTGAAATCATTGCCACAAAGAAACTATTTGTCCAAATATAAGTAATTACCTCCTACTGAAAGCCATTAATTGCCACATAAAAACTATTTCACAAAGGAAACCGTATATACTCAGTTTTGACGATAATTTCCTTATAACCTTTCATCACTTTGACATGTATTCTCATTTTTTAAAAGAACGAATGAAATTACATAGACATGGATTACCAAAGCAGATTTCACAGAAACTAACTAATATTGGCTCTTGATTGGCCTTACAAAACAATCAAGTTATTTCTACACTTCAAATTACAAATATCTAATGGAAACAAATTGTGGATGTGTTGCATGATTTTTGGAATATGACACATTTACGAAATGAAACTAAACGCTGCAAGGAAGCTATTCGGCGAAACAAATTAATAGTCACCCATAAACTATTCATCGAAAACAACAACAAACACTATATATACTTTAACAGAGCATGATATTTGTGGATGCATAACATGTTTATAGAAAACTAATCACCATCCAGAAACTATTCGCCGCCGCCGCTTTGCGCGGGTACACAACTAATATATATATATATATATATATATATATATATATATATATATATATATATATATAATATATATATATATATATATATATAGCTTGTCTTACAAAACCAAAATCATACAAATCAACTTTTACAAAACCATTGTTTATTTAAAAATTAAATTTTCGTATAACATTTTTCATAAATATGTAAAAGTTTGTTTTAAATACATTAAAAAATATATTTTACGTAAACTAAATACATAAAAATACATATAAATGGTTTATAAAAACTAATTTTTTTCTAAATACATAAAAGTATATTTCATTTTATTAAAAAATAGTTTTATTTAAAAATATATTTTTATTATTATTTATGTTTTAATGATTTTCCATAATATAAAATAGTTTTAGATAGGGATGTCAACGGGGGCAAACGGGACGGGGATTGCATCCCCCGCCCCTACCTCCGAAATTTCCCCACACTCCCGCCCCCGCCCCCGAAATTTTTAGTCTTCCCAACCTCGCCCCCGAATTCATGGATTATTCCTGTCCCGCCCCCAATTGATTTTGGAATATTTTTTATCGGGCTTAAAGAAAACTATTTTTTTGGGTTAAAAATAGTTATTTATAACATAGTTTTACATGTTATAAACAAAAATGTTATTACATCTAAAAAATGTTATAGTAACAACTTAAAAACATGATATTTTGTATTTTTTTTCTTTTGGAAGCTCAAAATCCTTGTTATTATATATATATATATATATATATATCTATATATATTATATATATATATATATATATATATATATATATATATATTCAATTGAGAAAATAAAAAAGGTTAAGAATGAGTGAATCATTCTCAGCAACTCATTTATTTTTGTTGCAAAAGCCTTCGTCGTACCAACGTAAATGGGAAATGAATACACATGTGTTTTCCAACAAAACATGTTCCCTTAAACTATGCTAATAATTACCTATATACAAAAACATAGTTTTTTTTCGTTATTTTATTTTTTAAGAAGCTATTTTTATTGAAAAATGATTTTAAATATAACAAAATTCGTGATTTTTATTCTCTACAAATAGTCATCCATATTGATCTATTTTTAAGATAAAATAAAAAAATTATTTTTTTTATATTTTCAGCTATCGTTATTTATAAGTGAATAAAAATGCATCATAGTTTTAGTACAACACATTCGTTATTCACTTATGAATACAAAATATGATTACTTTTTTTACAGATTAAGTATCATTCATATATATAAATATAACATATAATAAACTATTTACAGCTTACATCAACTCTCGTCACATGTTATATTCACATATGAATAAAATGTGTATTGACTTTCCTCACAATTTATATTTATATACGAAGAACACATTTATCATAATTTTGTTACAGTTCATTTGTATATAAACGATACTTAAACTGAGAAAAAGTTAAGCATTCGTTTTATTAATAAGTGAATAACGAATGTACTATAATAAAAATATGATGCATTTTTATTCACTTATGGATAACGATAGCTGAAACTTTAAAAAAATAAATTTTTTTATTTTATCTTAAAACCATATCAATATGGATGTCTATTTATAGAGAATAAAAAATTATGAACTTTGATATATTTAAAATAAATTTTCGATAAAAATAGCATTCTAAAAATTTAAAAAAACAAAAAAAAATGTTTTTGTTTATTTTAAGGTAGTTATTAGCATACTTTAAGGAAACATGTTTGGTTGGAAAAACACATGTGTATCCATTGCCCATTCTGCCAGTACGGCTAAGTGTTTTGCGGCAAAATAAATGTGTGACTGAGAATGATTCCCTCATTCTCAACCTTTTGTTCTCAATTTGAACTCTCTCTCTCTCTCTCTCTCACACACACAGCTATCCTAACTATTCCTCATGTCTCATACTCATTTTCATTTTACTAAAGAACTTGGGTCTATGTCAATTGAAAGGGTATTACAAAGCCTCATCTCGGGCCTATAATTTGTTAAAAGAACAACTTTGTAAGTTTCAGTATGAACAACCTTTTCTATATATATATATATATATATATATATATATATATATATATATATATATATATATATATTCACGGGCCCCCATGGGGGGTTCGAGACGGGACTGTCTACACCCCGTCTCCGCCCCCGAAATTAAAACGGGGTTTAACCTTGCCCCCGTCCCCGCCTCCAATTTTCTTAACAAATATCCCACATATAAGATCCCGGCCCGTCGGGTTCGAGGTCCCACGAGACTTTTTGACATTCCTAGTTTTAGAGATATATAAACCAAGTAACCCTTCAGCTTAGTGGTTTATACGAGGGGGAGGTCCCCACTATGCATCAAGTATTATCTATAAAAAAAATATTTAAGGTCAAAATTGAAGAAATAAAGACTTCAAAATCAAATGTGGACAATTAATTTGGGACGGAGATAGTAATTAAGACAAAATTACATAAATGGTCTCTATAGTTTACCTGTAATTATAAATTCAATCCATGTTAAACCTAAAAAAACAAATTACCCTCACATAACATGTTTCCAACCCGGTGCAACACCAATGCACCAAACATATAGTGTAGACTCCCACTTTTTTTTTTTAACGATTTTCGTAAAAGTTTGAATGTTCGTCAACCTCTTGCTCAAACTGTGCGGGCCGCTTTATCAACCCCATATTTGTTTGTATTGGGCTAGGTATAGATAGCCTTATTTGCTATGTATGTTTATAGTGGTATATATGCTCCATTGTACATACGTTTTGGGTAATGAGAACATACTTTCAATATTAGTATCGATAATATAGATATGAAAGCCATAATAACACATATTTACATAAAAAACTATATATATATATATATATATATATATATATTATATATATATATATATATATATATATATATATATATAAAACTATAATTTCTTTCCATAAATAATACTCCTGTAGTTATTACATCAATAATAGTGATATATAACCATAAAGTACATTACTCGTATTGGTAATAAAATATAATCATGTTATTAAGAGTATTGAGTACATACTATAAATAAAAAATAAAAAAGTTGTTATTATTGATAAATAGATTTAAAGTAAGTTGTTATCATGGTTAGAAAAAAAAATATAAATGGATTGGCATTACGAGTTAAAAAAAGTACATCGTATACATCAATAGCAAAAGTAAATGATGTTTTTCTCCGTAATTTACCCATCGTTACTCTCACACTTTAATGTTTTAATTTTGCACTATAATTTTTCCATGTCAAAAGGTCAAAAAAAAAATCAAATAAATACAACAGCAATCAACTCCCATGACTATGTCTTGTGAACTTTGTGAGAGTTTTGATCAATCCTTTGGCAATTTTTCCAAAACCAAAACAAGTTCATTATCGTCAATCCCGACGGGATCGTTAGCAAGCTGCAAAATATTGTCCAATAAGTTTGCTTCACCTAAAACAACACACAAAAAGGATGATCAGACAGTTAGGAGTTACCCTAGTACACTAAGGTTGCTCCAACTACGGTTGCATCAATTCACCTGATCAAGATGTGTAAACATGTGGAGGAAAAAGAAGATGAACAATATGACCCTCGCAGCCTGCATGACCACAAGTTATAAAATGATTTAATAGATAAAGTTAGTTTCCCTAAGTTCATTACGATATTTCTCTTAATGTATTTTTTGCATTTCGCTAATTATGTCGTATTTTTCTAAATTGTTTAGACATCATATATATCATTTATCTAGACATTATTTTAACCATATAAAACTTAATGGGAGAAAAAGAAAGCATGTCCTTAATTAGGATAAATGGACATTACCAACCACCCTACAAACACTGCAACGCCGTTCAACAAGTAAAACATGGAGTTTTTCTTCCCGGCAACATCAAGATACCTACATATGCATATCTAATGATCGATTAATCCGAAGAAAAAAAATGGAGTTTTGTAGTATTTTTCATCTATGAATACCATCTTATGTTAACAAATGGTGTTGTGATCTCCGAGAAAAGAACAATAAAGTTGTAAAACTGAGCTTGGCCGCATATAAGGGATTGAATGATACCGAGCATAGAGAGTCCATGGTGAAATACCTATAAAAGACGAGAGAGAGAGAGAGAGAGAGAGAGAGAGAGAGAGATCAAAACTAAATAAAACATGATATATTCATATAATCATCTGTATACTTACGTATTCTGGACCACCTAAAGTCGGATACATCCATATAATCATCGTCAAATCTGACAAAAAGTAACCGAGGGACATCTGGAATGATACAAGTATATACACATACATTAAGTGCAGTCGATATTTCTCAGTTTTCCATTATGTAGGTCACACTATAATTTCTCGTAAATAGGACCCACAATCAGATCTTATCTTTTTATAACATATAAAATGTGTTAGAAAATAAAAAAATTGGTCTTTAGTCTTTACATATGAAAACTCATTAGACATACAAATTTTCTCGTCTCCCGTTTATGTGGGGCCCACCATAATTTTTGGACCCACAATCTTATATCTCTATCTTCTCATACCATATAAATAGAACACAAAAAATGAAACGTATCCACATATGAAAATTTGTCTCATGGCATTACCAAATAGGCACACCATTTTTCTCGGTTGTCTGTTAGGCCATATGGCACCGCACAAAATAAAACATGATGATTACAAAATCACATACCGCAAGTATAGTGTTAGATGATGCAGATGACCGATAGATGATGAACTCTTGTTGATCATGCTCATCAAAAAGATTTGAAACGAACAAAAAGTAATAAGAAGCAATGGCCACAAAAAGTGCATGGAAGGTCGAGATGCCCCTAAAACATACATATAAACCAACATCAAGTGAGCTAAGGAAATGATATACATGTAAGTTTAATCCAACAAAAAACTAAAGGAAATGTAATAATTAAATCAAGTACAAGAACATAACCGATTTTTCCATTCGAATTTCTGCACACTTTCGAGTTTGTTAAAACCTTTGAAGACCAAGGGACTAATTACACCCGTCAAATCATAAGCCTTCAACACAAAAATTAATGTAACCTTTTTAGAATTCAAGTAAAAACAAAGCACATCAAGATACCATGTCAAAAGAAGAACCTCTTAATTATTTTGATAACCAGTTAACCATTAAAACAACTTATCATCACTAACAACAAAAATTCAGATAGACAAAATTAGGAGTAAAAATACTTACAACTTTACACATGATAATGCCTCCAAAAACTGAAAACAACCACATGATTTGGTTACTTGAACTTGCTTGATCACCAATGGTGCTAAAACTAGAAGCAGGAGTTCTTCCTTCCATGGGTTTTTGATTTTCAACGTTCAAAAATTGCAGCAGAACCATAAACGAAACTATAAAATTCCCAATACAAAATCCGAGCAATTCCAGAAACCCATCACGGTAGTAACTGATGGGATTTGTTAATTAATAGTTATACAGTCAGAAGATCTCCACAAGTTAATGATTTATATATGTAAACCAAAATCCCGGCTCTAATTATGAAGATTCTAATAACTATTTAATTAAGAAACTAAAGGGAGATATGCAAATAGCACCAGTGTTTATGATGATTCATGTTATAAATGATAAACGTAAGAATAATGACTTTTGGTGATGTGGGCCACTGGGCCTATTATGGTCGGGGCCCGGGAGGGATCATTGCAGAACTGACAAGTTACAAGAAACATGGAGCTGGACCAGCTGGTGGTGGGGAATGAATGAATGAATTGGGGGGGGGGGGGGGGGGGGGGGGGGGGGATTGGGTCGTAATATTTATCATAAAAATATGAAATGTTCTAATTTATTTATATTGTTTTATAACGTTGTATATATTATGTTTTGTCAATCCCGAGTAGTTCACGAGTAGTTTGGCTCGTTTGCACCCCTATTCAACATCTCTTCGCATTTGGCAGAGCCAAAAAAGTGAAAACCCCAACCCTAGTAGTTCGACATCACTCCAGCAACATGTATCACATTTTTTTAACATTTTGAGTAATAGAAGGTGAGTATTTAAATAATTTCCATTTGTTGTCAAGCTTAATGATTTTCTTATAATTTTAAGTAGTTTTTCTTGCTATTTGTAGTGCTTATTATTCATCATTTAGTGAGGTAAAACAAATGGATTCTTCTTCAAAACTTAATTTTAGTGAAGAATGGTGCACTTATAGTGAAGACGAGAATATGTTACTTCTACATATACTATGAGGAAATGATCTTTTTTGTACTTGTTATGCCCTTGTCAGAAGATGTCGAAATACTAAAGTCGTATAAAGTGGATGAGTATAAAGAAGAGTTCTTCGCTGAAGATTTTCAATTTAGAAATTTGGGCATAAATGTGGATGGGTACCATTTACGTTTTGCTAAAAATAATTATAGGATTCTATTGGTACTTTGTGGGAAAGAAAATGAAAGAAAGTAAGTGCTTGTGCACTTCTTGTATTAGACATGAAACAACTTTTGATAAGCATAGATGTTTAAGAAATCTCGATAAGCATTTATGTTCCAGGTGAAATATTTGAATGATAAACATAGATGTTCAAGAAATTTTAATCTTGGGTCCCTTGTTACTCCCTCTTGGATTGTAAAACTTTATGTAGGGGATATGATAATAAATCAGACTGTAATAAAAAAAAAAAAAATAATAAGATAAGGTCGGCATTCTAAGGAAGTTATGTTGCACGGTAAGTACGGTGTCAATTGTCAAAGGGAAGGTGCTAAGGCATTATTTAAAGATAGGGAAATGTTGTATACCATTATGGTAGAGTTTGGGATTTAGCCCATGAAAATTAAACCCGAGTGAAACTTAATCCATATGACATTTATTTCAATGTATCTTAATTTCCTTTAAAGCTTGAAAGAAGGTCGGACGGGTTAGATACAGCCATCATATCGCTACAAGAAAGAGGTATTCCTTTGATATTCTGACCAACATAAGGTATTTTACAAACTTTATTATTTATGTGCAAAGCATAAAAACTATTCTAACTATCCATAACAAGAAAAATATTGCTCAAAATAGGAAAAAAAAAATATCGGTTTAAAATGGAAAAATATGTCTAAAAGCCAAAAAATTAAAACAATATTTCCAAAACAGGAAAAATTAGAAACTTTTTTTTTTGTCCAGAACAGTTTTAAAAATACTTGAAAAGAAAAACAAACTTAAAAAATACCCGTGTTCATGGATTTATGTAAGGATTTGTGGAAAGTGAGAAAAAAGTAATGCCATGTTGAATATAGGCAATGTGCATAACATATTTATGTGATTTTAGGAAGAAAACTAATACTAATGAATCTATCTATATAAATATATAAAACTAACAATTTCTCAACTCATTAAGGAGACATTGGTTTTGTAAAATATAATTTAACAAGAAACTTAATTAATGGGTTCAACATTTTCGACAACTGGTTCACGGATTGGTCATATTTGACAAGGGTTTCTCATTTTTGAACTTGTATCTTCCATCAATCACAATTAAAGTTACCATAGTTTATCCCTTATTATGATTTCATCATCCATACAAATGGAAATGGAAATGGAAACATACTACATTAAATTACATCTCCAAACTGCAAAATTAAATGTCTACAACTAGTAATGCTACTCTAAACTGGAAGTGCCACCCACAAGCTATATTGCTCAAAAAAGATAAAAATAAATCTCGAATATTTGTGTCCTCAAGATTGAAAAAAAATAATCAATTTGACTCACAAAACAATGAAGCATTTTTTGTATCTATTCTCCAACTGTCAATCCGAACCCAAACTTGTAGTCTTTCTTCATGTGGTCGATCTGAATGTTGATAAAATTTAGCAAACTATCATTTCTTTATATTACAACATTATTACTTTGAAAATGCCACCAAATTATTAGGACATTATATACCCAATTATAGCAGTTAAAATTGCAATTGCTTGTTTGAATGACATTGTTATAGTTGGGAAGATTTTTCAAAGTACAATGGTGTAATGGGAATAAATGAAAGTAGGATGCTATATAATAAATAAATAAATCAATGTCTATATTACAGCATTGTACTTTGAAATTTCTACCTAATTATGCCATTGTATTTTCAACTTTTTTTTCTTATTAGGAAGGAAGGACAATAATATACTTTGAAAAATCTAGGTGCTAGTTCTAGCAATGAAAAGTGCTTTCTTTCTATTTAGATGAGATTGCTATATATTGATATTGGTAGAATTTTAACAGTAGAATGTTGTGATAGGAATAAAATTAAAGAAAAGGTATATTGCTAATTCTTCTATTTATATAAATGCACTGACCTCAGCAGAGATGATAAAATTAAGACCCATGTTCAACCTTTCTTCAAGAAAAGCAGATGTGCAGCCATTTGAGTCAATCTTGCCTCTAAGCCGACACTGTCAATGTAAAAAATATTACTTTTTAAAATGCTCCTTTATTAAGTCCAAAATTTTGATGCCAATTTCCCAAACTTTATTTAAAAAAAAAAAAACAGTAATGGTTGGTTGAATTGCCTGGCGAAGTATATAATCATAGCCAAAGCTGGCAGTGACATCTCTTGACATGTAATTGTACATTAAATCAGATGCCAATGAAACCTACATACAACAAAGAAGACAAATGTAATGTAATAAGCTGATAAGTGCAAAAAAAATAAAAAAAAAAAAAAAAAAATAATAATAATACCAACAAGATTTTACCTTTTCAGATACTTTCTGAACATAGCTAAGAGCCACCATTCCAGTGCTAGCAATCTGTCCTGAGGCAACCTGCAGCAAAAATAATATGAATTTGAGTTAATAATAGAAATATAGAATAGACTATGCATATACTATAAATAAAAACATACTACATGTCAAATTTTGTCAGCATAAGAAAATTACCATTTTATCCGTATTGTAACGAGCAGCATAACCAAGACCAGACTTACGATGTTGACCTGCCCAGAATACTTCCCCACCCAATGACAAGTGAGGGGTAACACTCTGCAACCAAGATATTAATTTTTTTATTTTTTTAACACCAGACATTTAATATAAAAGATGGTAAATCTTTTACCTGAATATAACTAGCACCAAGTAAACCACCATTTCCAAGTTGGAATTGACTCCGATAGTCGCTACCCTGCATACAAAAAGAACATAATTTAATAAAAATGGACAAGTTGTAAGCATACAAGACTAATAACTTACCTTGTAGTCAAAATTGAACATTCCATGAGACATGTGTGGCTCGCTTGTAAGCTGAGAAGAAAAACACAAGGAATTATCGATAATGTTCATTCACCCAAAAAATGCTTGATTTGTATTATATGTAAATATTAATAATTACTAATCTACCCTTCCACCTGAGCATTGGCCTTCATGGTAAGATTCTCAGACAAGTCACATTTCACTCTGGCGTTAACACGCCCATCAGTCAAGACTCTTCCAATAAGCATTAACTACAGCACACCAAACAATTACAAATATGCCCTTCCAATAAGCAAACTAACATCCTAAAGATGACACAGGGTCATAACTCATAAATAACCTACCTTTGGATCTATGAAGTTTGCACCAAACTCATAGTTTGCAGTTGGAATTTTAATTACTTCAGCAGATTGAGAAGGGAGCTCCGTGGGTCCCATGGCAATACTATAAATGTTCAAAAATGGATAATTATAAAAACAGAAATGGAGGAAAGTTCATATGAACTCAAAGAACATATGTTGATTTGGAATTAGTACCTGTGACTTAGTGAGAACCTCTGATTGAGTCCCTTAGTAAAATCAACTCGCATCCCCTCAAAATAATCAGCCTTTAAGGACACTAGAGAATAAGAAAATATCCAATCTAAGATGGTGTAGAAGGTACAACTTCATTTATGTTTCTAGTTTGCAGGTGATTCAATGGAAGTATCATGCATTCTTGCTACCAATTGAACTGAATGTGTCTTGGGTCAATATGAAACACCAAGATAAGTCAACCAATTACAGATTCTTGCATACAATAAGAAAATAACAATGCATTATTTATGAATTGATACAATGTGGTCGTTGCTTATAAGTCGTGTTGCAGCACTTACCAACAAATCGTCCTAAGGAAAATACTATTTCCATAACAATAGATTTAACTTCTTGAATCGAATGTATGTGTAGGATTTGCTCTTGAACGTTTAAGTATTGAATAAAAGGTGCATTATATATAGAGAGTTGAGCAAGAACCCAGATTTGAAAAATACTATGAAGGTCTCTTGATCCCCATGATAAAGGCTCCGGTACCCCAAGACGGAGAGATAAGTAAGTATATTTAGTGACCATAGAAATAATTCCAATCAAGAAAGTAAAAAATTTCAAAAGTATCAAGTAGCTTAGGGTTTAAAGATGATAATGTATTAGGGTTTATGTGATCATTCAAATCAATCGCCTAAATCATTTACAGCAAAAACTAAAACAAAACTAACGATACCAATTCAGTAATTGAGGTTCAAGAGCAGCAAGATATTAACTGAGGGCTTCCCGGTGGATTTCTTCGTAAGGAATAGGGCATGGTAGGTCCATGTAATCGACTTTCTCCGGTTTGATAGTTTCCGCCGCCGCCGCTGGTGGAGGGGGAACAAGAGTCGCCATTTTTACCAAAGATAGATTTAGCTGGTCAAAATTTGGAAGAAGAAAAGGCTTTGTACAGTGTTTTCTTCTTCGAAGTGGAAGATATGAGGAGCAACAAAGAAATAGAAAAAACCCTTGGTACTCTATAAAAACCCTGGTCTTTGGATTGCGGAGTGATATAAATCTATGATAAATCAAATACAATCAAATATCCTTGTATATTTTTTTACACTATTTATCTTTTTACTTGTTAACGTCAAAATAAAAAGAAAGACTAAGGTTGTGTTTGATACCCGTCTGACTCGGTCTGAGTCAGACATATGGGCTGACTCGGTCAGACATTGAGTGTTTGATGATATGTTTTCTCGGTCAGCCGTCTGACCCAAATGTCTTACCCGGTCAGCTTTGTAACATATGCTGACCGGGAATAAGGACACTCCTACCCCTCTGTTATCTTTCTTCCCTCGTTACCTAATACCCATTCTTTCAATCGTAGCCTAAAAAAAAAAGCGCAGACACAAAAATCGCCGCCTCCTCCATCGACAGCTCACCGCCATCTCGTCGGTTGCCGCCATCTAGCTGCCGTCTCACCACCATCTTGCCGGCTAAAGAGAACTCGCCATCTCCGATCAATTTCTCTCGCTTTCCCTGTCATTCAAGATCACTGTAATTCATCAAAAACAGGTAAGCTAATCTTCTCCTTTTATGTTAATATTTTTTGAGTTGTTGTCCTTTTTGCATAGCAACATAAATTATAATTATTTGGAGAATAATAATTTTCTTATGCAAAGCCCTTCAAATCTTCTTTCTCCATACATGATTTCACCCAACACCCAAAATCTCTTCGATAGCCTATTTGACTAGTTAAGATTCACACTTTCAAACTCAAATTCAAAACAAATATGTTGTATCATTTTATGTGATGACATTAATTTGGATTATGTGAGTTTAAGCAGTTAAACACTAACCTTAATGATGAGTTACAAATTATGAGATACATAAAGTAAATATTTTATGTAAGAGATCATCTTTGTGAATTGTGAAAAAGTCGTTTTATATGGTTAGTTGGGACAGTTGGAAGTTTGGATGTACTTATACTTAAGTTACTCGTTAAATTTATTGAACATTGGAACTCTTTATTAATTAGATATTTTTGTTGTAGACATAAGGTTTTTTTAAGTTATTATTTGTCAATATAAAGTTTTATCATTATTTGTTGCATCTATATTTTGATTTTGATTACTTGTGATTATTATTTTGATTTTGATTATTTGTGATTATTATTTGTCAAAAATCAGAATTTATTTTTGTTTATATATAACAGCAGGGTAAAATGATCATTTTTCATCACTCAGCACATTCAGTCAGATGTACAATCAAACAACAGGATTTCTTACTCAGTCAGAATTTCTTACCTAGACAGACCTTTCCCAATCAGCACTTTCTCAGTCAGCAACTATCAAACGGGGCCTAAAAAACACAATTAATTATATCCACATGTCATAATCTTATACTAGGTGTGAGACCCGTGTATTACACGAGTTTATTAAAAAAAATATTGTTTATGATATTATCAATGTAATTGAAGACAAAGATACATTTGGAAATAAACTATTTATTCATATTGGTCAATGTTTCACTCATAAATTAATAATCATTTTGCAATAGTCAACAAAATGGATACAAACATGAAATATGTAGGTACTTGAATATAATTGTGTTTGACAGAAAATTATTTTCATTGTTCTAGATTTTTGGAATTCATTTGTTTTTTTGTTAAATTTGTATGGTTATTGATTTTGTTTTGTTTTGGGAATGGATTTTTTAACTTAAAAAAATTGGTGGATGGTTGTTTGGTATAATCGACCGATTTTCCATATGAGTCAAACCACATTCCTTTCCATCGATTCTAATCAAACCACTCCTTAAAACCTCTCTCCACATATCTTTGAATAGATTATAATCGACATATTCTCCATATAAATGTTACTTGAACAACCACCCAAATAATTTTGAAATAATTATAATCGACACATTCTCCATATAAATATGGGTAGGAAGATTTGTAAAAGAAGTGCATTGAACTCAAATGCTATCTATTTACTACTAAACTTTTGAATGTCAAATGAGTTGATTTTACTTCAAAACATGACAAAGTTATTATGGGCAACAATTTACAACTTATTAGAGTTAGATCTTCTAGATGAGTCGGAAAAATGAATTTATTAAGTATTGGCATTTCAATCATTAAAAAAATGAAGTCTTTTTGAGATGGAGGAAGTAGAAATTAATAAAAGTATATAGTTTTGAGGATAATATAGGCATCTACACAACCACATGTTCCATGATTGCCGGTATAACTTTCTAATATTTTCATGCAATTGTATAATTGGAGATTCATTTGTTGAAAATGCAACATCATCGATAAATAAGATCATACTTCAAATGGACTGTGAATATTATTGGCATAATTATTGTCTCAATGAAAGAAAAGGTTTAACCCCCAAAAAAAACAGTTTGCAAATTCATATGGCATTTAACTGCTCAAAACCACCTGAACGAAAACCATACAGTTGCACCAAGAGCCAAAAAACACAAACTTTTTAGTTACAAACAAATATGAAACCAAATATATCAGTTATTCGAAAAAAACCCAAAAGAAATGATTAAATTGTTATTGTGTGAGAGTGGACGGAAATGCCCATCTACCGTTGGCAACAAAAAGAGTTTATTTTAATATAATAATAAAATTTGAATCAGTTTAAAAACACATCCAATTGTAATAAGTACGTTTGAATAATGAATATGATATTGAAAGTTTTAAAATAATAGGATAAGACAAAATATTAGTATAGGTTGAGTTTACTTGCAATGAAAGGAAAAAATTCAATCCAAGAATATGTATGCTAACCTGTAATGATATCATTCTTTATGGATCATAGCAATATGTAACCTATAATAGCAACATACTTACCTTTTTAAACTTGATAAAACATAGTTTATGGTTCTTTTCCCAAAAAAAACAAGGTACAAATGTTTCTTTATGTATAGTAATAGTAAATAAGTCCATATTGGTACTTAAATGTAAGTAGAATGTTATAATACGTATGGATATATAAGTATGTTGCTATTATAGGTAACAAAAAGTACAACATACTGAACAATTAGTTTGTCAATATGATTATATGACGCCATGTATAAGAAGAAATAATTAAAAAAAATAAATCTGGAAGGAGAATTCGTTGAAGTATAATCGTAATGGTATTCCGAATAAAAGCACGAAAATGGTGACGATAACATGCATAGTAGCAATCCTATTTAAAGGGAAGTCTTAATATAGAAATCCATTATCTTCCTAAAATATTCAAATTGTAGGTGTGAAAAAAATCATTGACTTTTTTAACCTATAACATCAGCAAGAATTCAATTCTCTGTCAATGGGAGTGAGTACTTTTATGGTAAGTTGAAATACCATAAAAGAAATAATTGATATGGGATTATATGATGAAATGCCTAACGAAAATATTAAAGGAGAAATTGACTTTTGGAATTTTTTTTAATAAAAAAACAACAAAATTACATGTGTTATATTGAAGGGGAAATTGAAAAGTGGTAAAATTATTTTGATTTATTAGGGAGGATGAGTAAGACGATAAATGGGAAAAAATAGAAAAGTATTTAATTTTTCTAAAGCTTAGAAACTTGCAAGGGAGGCTAGGGTACTCGAGGTCCTTTCTGGAAAAGATGAAGGTTGGGATTAGGGGAAACCCTAGCCCCATTGCTCCTTAAATAGGTTCATGATCCAAGGCTTAGGGTTTTGAGCTCATTGCGGCGGCGCAACGCAACCTTAAATGAATACCACATCGCGGTGACGTGGTAAGCCACCCACCACACCGCGAAAGGGGCTAAAGCACAAAAACTCAACTCTAAAACCTAACATTCAAAGCATAGACTCATACCTATATTAGATGTTACATGTTCCCTGCATGACTGTTGTTCTTCGCTTATCACAACTTTGTATGGAGTTTATGTTGCAAACTCTACCTTCTGGTTAACACTGTAACACCCTGTTTCGAGTCATTTCATAATTTGGGGCCGTGGCCCGGAGATCAAGTATCATAAGGCTTCGGGCTTTGGGAAAGAGAGGTTTAGACCCATTTGGATGTGGGTAATGTAGATTACGGAATCCAAGAGTTTGTTTGTGTTGGAGTCAAAGGGTAAAACGGGAAAAGTGATGTTTCGTACTTAGATAATATTATGGGGCTCTTTAATACCTTTCTGTGGATATAAAGATCGTCGAAAACGGAGTTGGAACGAATAAGTTATGACCGTTTGAAGTTAGGAAGGTTTTGGGCTTAGTCTAGTATGTTGGGAGTACATGATGTACGTTGGGTGTACTAGGCATACCTGGAGTACGCTGGGCGTACGGGATCAGTGCCTAAACCTTATTTTCGTGGTTTGGGTCCTATTTAAGCTCATTAACTTCCCCAGACTCATTCCATTCTCAGCCTCTACCTCTCCAACACCCTCCCTTGAAACTCTAACCCTAGTTTGAGCCTTTTGAGCAAAAGAAGGTGTTCTTGAGTGCTTTGGAGTGTTCTTGGTGCATCTTAAAGAGAAAATAGCTCTTTGGAGAAGTGTTGGTTGCATTAGAGTTTGTAGATCCAGACTTTTTTCACCTTGATCTTTCTTTTATAGGTATAAAGCTTGAATCTTGATGATGCATTTGTTAGATCTAGCTAGTTTTGGGTGTTATGAGCTTTTGGTCACTTTAGTGCATAAAGTTTAGATCTTGAAAGTTTGTGACCTTAGTATTGATAAATTTGGAAACTTTATCCATCTAAACATCATATTGATTCAGATCTAAAGGTTGGAGACTTTGACTTAATGGATTAAGTTGAAAAAGATGCACTTTTGGTCCCTTTGAAACTTAAAGACTAGATCTTGGTTGTTTGGACTATTCTAATGGATAAAGTTGGAAACTTTATCCATTATGGGGTTATTAGTAACCATAAAAATGTAATATTGGACCTTAGTTTCCATCCATGCACGAGCTAGGTTGTCTTAAAGAGTTAAGAAGTTAGGATATTTGGTATTGAGCACTTATTAGCCATGTAAGATGTAACGCCTGTGTTTCTGGGCTAAGCATTAGTATA